TAGTGTCTAATCCCATAATTTATCATGTGGCCACTGAACTACCTTCTGTGCTTCGGATAAAAGTGGATAGAATGGAGGACGTTGTTGGTTCTTTCTCAAGAATGATGTGCTTTTAGGGACGAATAGTGCCTGTAATCGTTTTTGATTATATTCATGGTATCGTCAGAAACAGAGAACATCACGTTTGCGTGATGCGTTTAACTACTCCGGGTATGTCATCTTGTTCTATTACTGCATCATCTTGTTTGATTTTTCGTATTTCTCAGTTGATTATGATGATGAGCAACGGTTTTTATCGCTATATGAGGATATGATTAGGAAGGGGAGGTATTTTGCAGTCGATTTGCCGAATGACTCATTTTTCAAAGATATGTACTTATTGCCGCTGCCTTCCGATGAGGAGCCTCCAGGTATGCATTGCTACAAATCTCAGAAAAATCATTTAAAAGCTACGCTTATTTCAGCTATTCTTCTTCCTTTTGATGGACCAGGAATACCTAAGTTACATCCTCCAATGATTATCTGCTTAGTAGTCATATACGGATCTGATAAATTGCAGAAGTTTCAGTCAGTTTGATTTATAAATTATATGATATATATGATAGCTTTTATTTCTCGCTTATTATAAAAGAAAGTTCATTCTAGTATATCTTTCTTGATCGTTGTGCAGCAACTCACAATTTTTCTAAACATTTTCAGCCCAACCGTCGCACCGTCATCTGAGTCGTCCTTTATCGAAAGCGCAAGGTTTATATACTAGCCTTTTATTTTCATTTCATTTTCTTTGTCTAATATCCCTACTTTCTCTTCGAAATTTTCTCGTGATTGAGATTGGAGATGATAGGATTCAATCTCCTTTTTACATTTTTTTTCGCCACTCAAAAGATGTTAATGATGTCATTTGTTTACTTAATTTAAGAGACAACTTGCAGATGAAAATTATTAACTGCTTGGAGCAAAATGAAACTTGAAAGTGAACGAAACTTAGGGCGAAAAATTTGGGACTTTACGTTGGTTTATAATGTTTGGCAAGGCACAGCATCATATTTTTTGTGATTTTGTTAGTCTGACAAAAACGGGAAACGCTAAACGGTGTGGTTTTTCCCCCAATTTATCAGGTTATCACAAGAAATAATCACGGATTTCTTTTCGTCATGTTCATATATAATTCAGCTTAGTACAAATCTTATTAGTTGCTCTAAGACCTTAAAAATCTACACATTCTCGCCAGTAAAATGCGCTTTACACATTCCAAGAGCTCATCAACGTTTTCTAGAAGATGGCTCAACACTTTTTCTCTATGGTTCTCCCTTTTAATTCTTGTCCAAAAGAAATTATCGGGATGTTTTAGATCAATGGCGATCAGTGGGAGAGAGATTTAGTGATAGTGGTGAAGAAGGTGCAGTTCGATCGCAACGAATTCAACTTTTGCAGTATTGAATTTGTCGCGCAAACCAGTATGCAGAGGTGTAGCCTGCTTTTAAAGCTCTGTCTCACCCATCGCCGAACCTTTGCAATTTCATCACAAATCCTCAATCATTTGCAAGCTATCGCCCCAGCTGGATGCATATGCCCAAAACCATTTTCATCTTTGAGACTTTAGCTTGTCGTTTCGAAGTAAAACAGTTGGACAATGATCCGTTAGCAGTTTAGCTCCAAAGTCTGAAGCCTTT